CTGATCAGATTTCTGCACTTAAAAAGAACTGGAATTCAATAAAATGTATTAGAATCTACTTAGATCTACTATTAGAATTATATGTCAACAGCTCTTAGTTGTTTAGCTGTGGTTAGAATCTACTTAGATTCTAATCACAGCTAAACAACAAAGAGCTGTTGACATATAATTCTAATAGTTGAAACTCTAACCCTGTTTACAAACATAAAAAAATTGGTATTACAGGTGAGGGGGAAAGAAAAAGTACTGGGGAAACTGTTCAATTGCACCAGTCCTCAGGATTCGATGGAGGAGTTCCTTTTGTTTCTCAAGTCCTTTGGTTCTATGATCTTTTCCTACGAGTGCTTTCACTTCTTCACAGGTGGCATTGAGCAACTGGTTCACAAATTAAGTCTTTGACTTTCGGGTTAAAAGCAACAGCTTGCAGTAACTGGTGAGAGAAAACAATGGAATTCAACTCCGCCCCCCTCAGCTCCATCCAAGGAACCCCAAAAAACCTTCCACATCAGATAAACGTTCACCTGCACATTCGCCAATGTGGTCTACTGCATCTGCTGCTCCCGATGTGGCCTCCTCTACATCGGTGAGGCCAAGCAGAGGTTCGGAGACCGCTTTGTGGAGCACCTGTGCTCTGTTCGCGACAAACGACAACACCTTCCAGTTGCAAACCATTTCAACTCCCCCTCCCACTCCCACCCCCTGGGTGACATGTCCATCCTGGGCCTCCTCCAGTGTTACAATGACGCCACCCGCAAACTGGAGGAGCAGCACCTCATATTCCACCTTGGGAGTCTACAACCCAATGCTCTCAATGTGGACTTTACAAGTTTCAAAATCTCCCCACCCCGGCTTCATCCCATGACCAACCCTGCCTCTCATTCCCGTCTCCTCGACCTGACACAACCTGTCCATCTTCCCACCCACCTATCCACTCCTCCCATCTCACTGACCAATCCCCACCACTGCCTACCTGCACTCACCTATCACCATTCCACCTACCTTCCCCAGCCCCAGCCCCATCCCCCCTCTCTATTTATTTCAGAGCTCCCTTCCCCCTCCCCCATTTCTGAAGAACGGTCCTGACCCGAAACTTTCCTGCTCCTCTGATGCTGCCTGGCCTGCTGTGCTCCTCCAGCTCCACACTGTGTTATATCTGAATCCAGGTATTTCCTTTTATGAGAGAATACCACCTGCCCTCCCGGAGATCCTAATCTTTACTGACAAGCTGACCAATCAGAGAGTTGTCACCAGGCTGATAACCTTTGGCATCCATAACAGGTGACAATTCTACAAACCAATCAAGTACTTGTTGCTGGCCAAATCTCACTTTTACATATGTGCTATCTTCTTTTATATTTTGCGCAGTGATTGCAAAGCAGGTGTGTAAACTCTTGTGGGTTATGTTTCAGAGTCTTTTTTTAAAAAAAGGTACAGCAATTCTTCCCTCAGTCCTTTGTTGTAAACATTCCTTTTCCCAATTCAGTCCAGAATCAAAACTAAAGTGAAAGATACTGTCTTATATAAATAACAAAATAAATAACAAATAAATAACAAAAACTACAAAACATTGCTCTCAAATTTTCTTTCCTAGTACCACTCCATACCAACCCCACCATCTCCCCCCACCTAACTCCGAATACAATTAGTCTCAAAACATACAAGTATTCCCTAAGGTCCCCAGCATCATTCTGAAAACTGTTTTTCATCTCACCTTGTACATACACAGCATATTCACACATTCCATGGGTCTCCTGCAGCTGTTCTTTGATTATTGCCTGGAAAACAATTCACAGCAATTGTTGATGCTCTCTTAAAGCAAACCCATGATACAAGGGGGCTCACTACTCCAGTAGCAAGATAAAATCATCACACCAGCAGTCACCACTGACTCATGGTGGAAACACTTTTCTTGCACAGGATAGCACAGAGACAGGCAAAAAGAACATCACAACATCAACACCACTAACTCTTAAAAAGCAGGTACACCACATAAACCCAGTAGGTTCCTGAATCTTCGATGATCACATCACCTTCTCACAACAACCAAACCCCTCCCTAGATCTATCTGCTTTGTACCCAATCCCCTCCACCCCTCTGGGTCACCCAACCTCAACACCCCTGGATCCCGCAGCGTCTACATCCTCATCCCCACCCACACCTCTATGGGTTCCCCAGCATCACTGCCCTCAGGATCCATGCCCCACCATTCTAGGTCTCCACCCTAAACTGTGGGTACTCCAACTTCACCTCATTTAATGAGTTGAAATGCCTAAAACTTGAGGGCTTGCAATTAAGGGGAGAGGGGGTAAAGGTCAAAGGAGATGTGAGGGGCAAGTTTTTTTTTACAGAGGGTGGTAGGAGTCTGGAACACGCTACCAGGGGTGGTGGTGGAGGCAGAAACAATCAGAGCATTTAAGAGACTTTTAGATAAGCACGTGAATATGCAAGGAATCTAGGGATACGGACCAAGGGCAGGCAGAAGGGATGGATTTAATTTGGTGTCACAATTGCACAGCATTCTGGGCCATACAGCCTTTTCCTGTGCCGTACTGTTCTATGTATCAATCAATCAGCCTGTTACAACGTGGGAGGCTGGAACCCTCTCACAGTTGTATAAAGTCAGAAGTCACACAACACCAGTCCAACAGGTTTATTTGAAATCATAAGCTTTTGGAGCACAGCCCGTTTGTCAGGTGCAGTGAGAGAAAAGAACACACAGACACAGAGTTTATAGGCAGAGAGATCATGGGCTGAGAGATCAAAAGATCACATAACTAGTGTGAGTGGAGTTTGATACAATCACGTTAATAAATTGTTATGATCTCTCTACCTTAATCAGTCCGTACGGTTTTGAATTACTTATTACTTTGGTTAGATCCTAGGCATGCAAGTCTTATGCCTATCCAGTTATTCCAGTCACTTAGTTTGTTTCCAGCACCACCTTATTTTTAATTTTTTGTAATTATCTCTCTGCCTCATTTAATCGGATTATAGGTCATCCATTTGCTGGTTATTCAGCTGTTGACACTTTACGCACCATCTAACACACTTGGTCACCTGCAGAGACTGACGCTCCACTCACACCAGTTGTGTGATCTTTTGATCTCTCTGCTCTTGTTCACCCCAGTCCAACAGCGGCACCTCCACATCACAGTTCTATACAGTTTTGTGCCTTAAATACTTGGTTCCATTTTGTTCATGTAAAATTTTCCTCCGGCTAGGAGATTTGAAAATATGAAGCAGCATGCACCTGCGTCTATGGCAGCAAGCTTATATGCTCACCTTGCAGGTTTCATAGTCCTTTCTGATATAATGCAAATGTATCAGCCAGTTCCGCCTTTCCAGAATGGGAAGTTCTGGTACTATACAGAGCAAAACAGAACAACAAACAACATTCAGTGATCAATAACAAAGCACCTTTCTCTACATATCCTCTCCCTTTGCAATCACTACTTCTCTACCTTCTTGATCAACAATTCATTCAGAAAATAGAAGTCTAAGAAGAATTGAGAAACTCAATTTAATTGTGAATATATAGTACAGAACGAAGATATCTCATCATACAGTTGTAAAATTATTATTTATATAGCATATCAATATGGTGAAGCAAAAAGGCTGCTCCCACATACAGCATGATGCAGCTCATTTTTGTGTAAATTATTAAAACATAAAATAAAGAAACTAGGCAATAGATGCTTGCCCTGAAGCCTTCAAGGTGAACATAATGAAGCTCAATTCCTGAGAACACACACATCCTGTGTCACCAAGGCTGTCTACTGCATTGACCAATATTAGCTTATATTAGCTTTACTGGCTGGTTACAAGGGTCTTCTCCAAACTGCCTTTATCCTGTCCCTAAGTTCAGGACAAAGTAATTGATTTGACTGTTCACAGATGCTTTGAAGACAGTAAACACACGGCTGCAAGAGGTACACTGACTGTCATTTATTCAACACGAGAGGCAAAGAAATAAAAACAAACTTGTATTTGCATAAAATGTTCACACCTTCAAGTGCTGACAGACAGAAATGAGTTAATGACCAGATCATCTGATTTGATTTAGTTGCTGAAGGATGAAATGCTGGTTACCTTGCACTTTTTCAAACAGTATCACAGCATTTTTAAATTCATTTTCACTAAACTAATATTAAGTTACTTATGGTCCCACTTACCTAGCTTATTATGAAGTAATAATCTGGCCATCTCAAAACTATTTAATTGGAAATATGAGTTGAAATGAAGTTTCATTTTTGGAATAGAACAGAGGCTACGATTTCGAACTATACAGCAGAAACAGAGTGCCAACACCTGCTAACTTTGCTGGTTAAGATAGTGTGCAACTCATTGACGACAGAGGTTTAGTCTTGATTATATGCTTTCAGATATCCATACGGGGAAGTTGTACTTACTGTGTAGCCATGGCTTAATTCCTAACATCACAGGGTAAGCAAGAAAGGACAAAAAGATATTGCTGCTCTTTTTCAGTTATTTAAAAAGCACAGAATATATTTTGCCACTAATGCATTCTCTGAGCGTACAAGCCAGATAGAACACAGGTTAAAGTCAATGTCTGTGCTGAATTAGTTGATATTTTCCTGAGCAATAATAAGAAGCATTAATAGCATTTGGCCTCATCATTTAGGAAGGGGAATTTGTCTGGGTTCCTGTTCTTGATACTATCTAGTTATTCCAATTAGACAGCATGCATGACATGACAATTGTTAAAGACAGGATTTCATTGGCGACTACAATATCTTGAACAATAGATCTACAACTATTTAATTTCAAATTACAAATGTGAAGAACAATCACTTGGTTAAACTGGCAGAGCTGTAGTCCATCACAAATCATTGATTTTAGGGCAGAAAGATAAGAAAAGCAATAAAGTGTCTCTCAAACTCCCATATACACTCCAGCACACACCTACATAATTTAAAGAAAGTGAGCATGTACACACTAACATGTAGAAACACCTACATGAAAGGGAAAAGTCCTAATTCCTCACCTTTCCTTGATTGAGATTTTCGAACATTGGTACATTGTACAACCTGGAAAAAATAAAACCAGACACACAGAAAGTAAACTGCAAAATCCGCTTTCTACATCATCAAAGAGGCAAATATTCAGTCAAGCGAGGCAAAACTATTACCAGTGTCATTTTCACTCAATTCCTTTTTAAATTATGTGTTCATCAATGTGAGAGAAGCCAAAAGAACGTTGCACAAGTGAGGCACTCAATGTTCCCATCGAATACACCAAGGGCAGATGCAGCATAGGGTTCAATATATAGTAAAACTCTGTGTACTCTTAAAACTGAAAGTAAATCCCTCTCCACTCTTTTAAACTAAAAGTAAATGGAAAGTAAAGTTCCCTCAACAGTGTCCCATCAAACACTCCTAGGACAGATACAGCAATGGGTTAGATACAGAGTAAAGCTCCCTCTGTCCAATCAATGTAGAAAAAAAAACTTATGCAGCAGAGATAACAAGGTGTAGAGCTGGATGAACACAGCAGGCCAAGCAGCATCAGAGGTGCAGGAAAGCTGACATCTTGGGTCTGGACCCTTCTTCAAAATTGAAGAAGGGTCCAGACCCGAAACATCAGCTTTCCTGCGCCTCTGATGCTGCGTGCCTGCTGTGTTCATCTAGCTCTACACCTCGTTATCTCAGATTCTCCAGCATCGGCAGTTCCTAATATCTCTTATGCAGCACTTTTTTTTTCTTTCTGTTCCATTGATATAGATTTTTACAGTTGTTCTATGTCCAATTTGGTATTGATCAAACAGGAAGAAGCATCATTCACACCCAAACCTGAGACAAGATTTTAATTGCTGTCACACTGTTTTCATTAACTTCATGTTAAAAAAAAATGCTTTTCACTGCTGCATGTGGTCCACAACTGCACCTAGAGCAGCACTACATGAAGGCACAGCCGTACCCCAAGTGGTGCTGTACAGGGGCACAGCCGCACATACACCCAAAGCACAGCCACAAGATAAACTTTGAACGTGCTTTTAGATTTTCTGTTACTCACCAATTCTTTCCCCAAATCCGACATTTTCTCATGAGCAAAGATGGCAGCAGCTAATGATTTCAGGCATACGCAGGCTTTCAGTCATCAAACATAGTCTGATTATACAAAAATAAAATGACATTCAGAAGGCCAGTACAGAGAAAACCTGTGTGTTTCGACCTACTCTTGTCCCTGTTTCCCACCTCGGCAAAATTTTCAACTTAGCAACAAATAACAAAAGAGCTGGCATGGACTTGACACAAAGAAAGATTGTATGCGAAAATTACTCCATGACTGTAATCACATGATATACAGAATGTCAAATTTCAAAGTAAGTTTCAAACAATTTATACTACACAAGAAAAAAGTGCTGATTGGTTTGCATTTCCCAAACAAAAATTCACCAAGGTTCCTGAAACTGCGCCTTCCAAACCCCACAACCACTCCATGTAGAAGGAAAAGTTTCTCTCCAATCCACTCACCATCCTGACTTGGAAATATATTTCCATTCTGTCACCAGCGCTGAGTCAAAATTCAAGAACTCTCTTCATCATAGCATTGTGGCTGTACATACACCAAACTGACTGCAGTGTATCAAGGTGGCTACTTGCAACTATCTTGTCGAGGGTAATTAGGGATAAATGCTGACATAGCCAGAAATACCCACATCCCATGAACGAAAAGAAGTCTCAACCAGAGTTTACATGCCAAACGACCTGTACTCTTTTCTTATTCCACACAAATTGTTCTTCCTTTTGAAATTTAATACTCTTGCAATTCTGTTATGCTGAATGCAAGGTAAAAAGTTTCATCTATATGTTTTTTATTCAGCAATTCCTGGGTTCTGTATTACAGAGCAAATATTCTTAATGTTTGAAACACCACAGAGGATCTTAGGGGGAATGCTTCCTGTCCATATATCACAGAGCTGCTCATGACAGTGGTTCTTTTTAGCCAATATTTCTGATCAGAAATTATTACATTAACATTTTCCATTTGATTCTGTTAAAGCAATAGACAATAGTGTGGGTTCAGTCTATTAGGTAACACTGTAGAAAAGTTTATGAACATAGACATAAATCTATGCCCATCAGTCCATACTTTCATTCAATTGTAAACTAGCAGACCTAAAATTAAAATGGCATTCTTCAAAATATAACTACTCATCCTAATTAGCTGAACAATCTAAATTTTTTTTGATGAATCAGTTACCACTAATATTCAGCCAATGCCTAAACAAAAATCTCCATCAATGACAAAGCAGTGAAAGAGCCTACGCAAAATGGAACTGAGTCAAACTGACCAGTAAAAGTACCACATTCAGTTTCTATTGCTATTTTGCACCTCCAAGTCATTACAGTAGTCAGAATGTTTGAAGAGGCATTAAGGCTGTTGGACCAAGGAGGAAATGCCAACCAGCATTCCCACTCCTACTTACTATTCAGCAGTCTCTGGCTGGGATATCTGGAATTTGGGTAAGGGCAGCACTGAGGTTTAACTGTGATGCACTCCTGAATCAACAATTACTGAATCATCAAACATAGACAGTGCCTCTCAATCCAACAAGATGTTGATGTTTGGAACTCTCTTCCATGAATGGCAGTGGAACCACCCAGCTTTTTGAAAAAGAAATTGACCAAATAACAAGTGACCACAGATGACAAGCTAAACTCTGCCCTAAAGATTCTTTTGGCCTGTCAGTTAGCAACATGTAGGTGTCGTACTCTTTGTTGAGTTAGAAGACCATGGGTTCAAGTACTCCCTTCAACACACTTTAGTCTAAGGTACATAATGGAGGGTCAGTACTAAGTTTGACAAGGTGTCACGTATTAGGCTACTTTAAAAAGATAAGGGCCCATGGTGTTAGGGACAATGTATTAGCAAAGATAAAGAATTGGCTAATAAATAAAAGACAGAAAGTTGGGATAAGGGGGCATTTTCAGGATGGCAATGAGTGGAGTGCCACAGCAATCTGTGCCGGGACCACAATTCCCAGTCTGTATTGATGAATTGTTTGAGGAAAGTGAACAAACTATTACAAAGTTTGCATGTTACATTAAAGTAGGTGGGATGGCAAGTAGTGAGAATGACACAAAGTCTGCAGAGGAATATGGACACATTATGTGAGCGGGCAAAATTTTGGCCAATAGAATGTCATGTGGGAAAATGCGAGGTTATGCACTCTGCCAGGAAGAATAGAAAAGCTCAGTATTGCTTAAATTGAGAAAGACTGCAGAACGTTTAAGCACAAAGGGATTTGGAAGTCCTCTTGCGTGGATTACAAAAATGCTGGTTTCCAACTTCAGAAGGTAATGGGGAGGAAAAATGGACACTGAGCTTTATTTTGAAAGGAATGGAGTATAATAATTGAGGGGCCTTGCTACTACTATGCAAGGCACTTGTCAAACCAAGACTGGAATAATGTGAACAGTTTTGGTGCCCTTTTCCAAGAAAAATACACTGGTCTCGGATGCAGTGTACCAGGCTGATGATGAGGAGAGGTTGAGTAGGTTGGATCTGTTCTCATTACAGTTCAGAAGAATTAGACAATCTTATTGATGAAACAATCTGGAAGACTCGAGCACCAAAGAGCATAATCTCAGAGTAAGGGATCACCCAATTAAGGCAGAAACAAGAAGGAATTTCTTCTTTCAGAGTGGAATGAAACTGTGGTATTCTTTAGTGCAGAGGACTATAGAGTTTGAGACGTTAAGTATTTTCAAGGCAAGGACGAACTTTTTGAATCAAGAATTATGGGGAAAAGGCAGGTTAAGCGGAATTGAGAATTATTAGAGCAGCCACAATCTCACTGAATGGCATTGCAGACTAGATGGGCCAAATGACCCACTTCTGCTCCTACGCTGCACTGGATGGTCAACACTGAGGGAGCGCCGCGCTGTCATAAGTTCAGTGCACTCTCTGGGGTCGGTGTAAAAGCAGCCCACTCGCTGACCTGGGATCTTTCTATACCTTGCAGCCACTTCCCGTCCTGACCGCTCTCGGTAACCTACCGCACTGTCCGTGCGATAAACACCGCTCAGGCCACTACCCGCCGTTACCGGGGCAACGCACCGCGGCCATAATAACAACGACGTGCTCCACTTCCCCCCACCCAAAAGGGCCAGAGATCAGTCCCCTATCTCCTCTCAATCACCCACCCCGGGATGGGTGTTTATTCCCGGGTAGTGACTCTTGTCCCGGTATTCAATCCCTCCCTCCGCGTCCTCCTCGCTCACCGCCGTCGTCGCGCTGAACATCCGGGGAAGCCTTGTGATGTCACCGCGGCGTGCTTACACACGCACCGCCCCCTCGCTCTGACTGACAGGTAGTGATTCCCTCCACCAATTCACATGTTCAAAAACACAATTCTATATATCCAGTCAACCTGGCTCATTGACTCCAACACTGCCTATGTTCAAATTTCCAGGGATGTACCACATTCAAAATGTGAAAACATTACTGGATTACTGTCTCATTAAAGTGATATCATGCAATTGTGTTGTATTAAAACTAATCACTAGATTTAAAGGCATCTTTTACCTTTTGTCAGTTATTAATTTTAAACATTTATTGGGTTAGGCATCACGATATAATTTTAATTTCCAGTAGGAAAGGGAATGGAAAAAAATGAGTCAGCGTTCATTCTCAGGTAACCTCAGCCTATCCAGTTCTTGTCTTGAAAACTCCTCACCGGAAATTTTAAATAATTCCAAAGTTCATAAGTATTTAGACTCAAAACTTTGTTCCCTTCTCTACATCGATTTTTACCAAAACTGCTACATTGCTCCAGAACTTTGTTTTTATTTTGATTACAATAAATACTGTAGCACTCACGTCGATAAAACGATGATCAGGTCTAGACAGAGCCGATTAAGTACTTGCATCACAGATAATCCAGGCTGAGGCAGAGGAAATGTAGTTAAAGTTGAAGGCAAATTCTTCTGGTGATCATCTCCACAGTGAGGGGGGCAATAGCTTTACACAACAATGATTATAAATTAATATGTATCTTTAACATGATGCTTTGTCCATTTTTACTCATTCACAAAATAGACAACTTGGGGAACAAACCAAAGCAGGAAAGTTTTCATATTATATAAGCTTTTCGAGTTAATTTTTCAGTTGCCACATTTCCGTGACTTCCAAATTTTCAATTTTACAGAGGAGTTCTATGTAGCCAGGGCTGCTGGAAACTTCCATCCGCTCCTCAGCGCAAGATCTGTTCCAAATATTATCATTTCTTCTCCTCTCCCCTTCTTTTCAAGGCAAGGAACAGATGAACCTGGTTATGCAGTAAAATGGCCTTCTTCAACAAATGAAAAAAAGATTTGCCATTCAATCTCCAAAATAACAACTCTAAATAATATCATGTAGTGAGTGCACTTTTCTAACTTAGTGAACTATTTCTACAACTCTGGCTTCAAGCAAGCCTCCTCCCTTTTTTTCATCCCAGAAATACAGGTCGCACCTTCAGCCTTTTGAACATCTTAACAGGGCACACTGAATACTGGTTTGGTGCCCACTTTATGTTGTGAGATATCTTCAACACAAAACACACAATATATACATAAACCATTATTAAAGTTCAGCTTAAGCTAAACAGAAAACATTGACACAATTGTGCTTCAAAACATAAACATCAAAAATTAAAGTTTGGGTATGACTTCGCCCTTTCCTACACCTTAGCTTTTCTACTCCATTCTTCATCAGTCCAATTATGTTGCTAATTGTTCAATGCAAAGATGCATTCTCCAAGTTTGCATTTAATAGGAAATGGAAATTCAGTAAAATTAGAAAGCATTTGTTCCTCATGTCAAAAGTGCATTTATTGGGTTACGATGTCACGGTCTTGGTGCTGAGTAGGCATGTAATCAGAACAGCATTTAGGCCTGAACAGTGTGTTGCATTACCCTAAATATATGATAATTTTTCAGTAACTGTTCTGACCTGGATGAAAGAGGAATACACTGATTCATATCATTGTTCCAGCCCCAAAAATAATCAAGAATTTCTTCCAGAGTATCTAGAAACAAGGCTCAATGGCAAGTGCTTTAAAAAGTGGCTTCAACCCACATAACCAAACAACCCTTTTGTCACTTAAGTAGTTTAAAAAATGCATTAGCAGTAGAGTACTAAAACTACCTTACAACAAAACTAACATTTCCTTATTTACATCAAGATATGCTGAATGGATTGGCACTAAAAAGGTTTAAGACAATACTCTAGTTACTCACCCACTTCTTAGATTTAAGACAGCAAATACTACACACTGTGTAACTAAATAGGAATGTTCTTTAGTCCTCCTCATAGGTTAATAAGCAAAAACGTTATGAATCAAAGTGCTAAAGCAACTATGGGTTACGGTACATTGTGAACATACAGGTAGCTATTTTACAGGATCTTTAATTTGTAAAGCAGCCAGAAGTTTTGGTAAAAAGCAGAAACTGGGGCCAATTATGCAATCCAACTTCCTACTTGATAAAAGCTAGAATTTCTCTACTTACCATCCGGTCACCAGAAAGTATGTTTATACTATGTTACTTTAATATTTTGACAGTTCCTTTCTTTCCTCCTGTGAGAATGTACAGGACTGATTCTACCAGGATTAGAGCGGTCTCCAATGCAAACGCACAGCAGCAATTCAGTGATTTTTGGACAAATGCTGATTCAGGTAGTAATCAAGACTCTGCCTTGCTTTTAAGGTGCAAGTCATTTTACAAGCCATGATGCCAGATGAAGCAGAGGAAAGATTCAGATGGTATCACCTTTGGATTATGGAAAAAGATCAAAGACTAGTCTTAACTTGAAGATAACGTGTACTGAATGATCCACTGCAAAAGCTCAAAAGCTCTTCCAGTACTTTGTGTCGAGACCAGGATTCTTCCTTATTTGTAGAAGAATGTGTGAAAGGATCCATAAAAAAGCTTCACAAGAGTTTTACTCCTAGCAATCATATCTGCTGGCCATGGTGGATGTGCTGGATCTCTGTAATACACAGGATGCCTGAAATTACGTATACACTTGGGTATTACTCAATGCTAATCCCCACCTCAAATGCACTGGAAGACACGCAAGGGATACCCAAATTAAACCTTTATCGTCAGTAAATGCTTTGCAGTATTCAAGCTTTACAACTGTGTAAGTTTGTCATGGATTCATCCATTACAGCTACAAATTTTTCAACGTTTGAGAATTTGACAATACATTGTCCCAGTGCAACAAAAGAAAAAAAAACAAAAAGTCCACAGCAATGAGTGTAGGGCTAAGGAACCCAGTGCTAGGTCTTAACTTTAGACAACCTTCTCTTTGATATATAACCAATTTAATGGTGAAGTAGAACAAAACTATTACTTGCAGTTTGGGTTGGTTGCCAGTTTAGAACATAGCAGTCCATCTTTCACTTAGCCCCACCAAGCGATGATCCTTCAACCCTAACCTCTATACGCTGGGATAGCAACACACAGGCAGAGCACAGCAAGGGCAGCAGCCATAAACACCCAGGACAGTAGAGATATAGGGGTGAGAGGGGAAGGGGAAGGGGAAGGGG